CCCCCCCAATTTTTTTTTTTTTTTGAACTGGGGATTGAACTCAGGTCCTTATTCTACTGAGCCATCTCCCCAGCCCTTAGAGCTCAGCTGAGATCTTAGGGCCTTGTCAGTGATGTACTTTTTTTATTTTTTGTGGCAGAACCAGGGATTGAACTCAGGTCCTTGTGCTTGCCAGGCAAGCACTTATTCTACTGAGCTCTCTCTCCAGTGTGCGCTCTCTCTCTCTCTCTTTCTCTCTCTCTCTCTCTCCAGGGTCCTCCGCACCTGACTGGGTTTGCCCCCGTAGGCACTTAAACAACTGAGCTAACCAGCAAGCTGACCTCTTTTCTTTTCTTTTTTATATATCTAGTACAGAGTCTATAGGATCTCACTACACAGATTGAACTCATAGTGATCCTCCTGTATTCAGCCTCCCAAGCGCTGGGATTACAGGTGTGCAACATCACGCCCAGTCTCAATCACTGTTTCAGCGCACCCCTGGGGTCAGGGCCAGCATGGCAAGCTGGGGATGGAACCCTGGTCCTTTCATCTGCCCTAAGCAGGCGCTTTAATCCACTGAGCTATCCAGCTGGCTCCACACCTGGTTTCAGAAATAAGATTTAGAGGGGGCCAGGGAGATGGCTCAGTGGAATAAGTGCTTCCTTGACAAGCGCAAGGACCTGAGTTCAATCCCCGGTACCACAAAAAAAAAGAAAGAAGATTTAGAAAGGGCTGGGGATGTAGCTCAGTGTTCCCTGTGTCCCTACGGCCAGTAGGACAAAAATAATAGAGGTCAAACCAGGGAGGTAGGTAAGGTAGAGGTGACCATCACAGGTCAGGAGCCCTAGGTTCAGAGAATTAGGACAGGCCTAAGGCCACCCAGCAGCAGAAAGATTTTCATTGTAAATTTCATGATTCCAGACCTAGTGCTCTCTCCTTGCCACCACAGGAGGCCGAGGCAGGAAGACTGAGATTTCTAGCCCAGCCTTAGATCCTTTCTCAAAAAATGAAAAAAAAGTCGAGGATGTGCAAAGGTTCTGGGTGCAATCCCCAGGAGAGGAGAGAACAAAGGAGAGAGAAGGGAAGGGAAGGGGAGGAGAGAGAAGGGGACCAGAGTGGTAGGGAGAAGAGAGGGGAGGGCTTTGGCAGGGGGCCAAGACCTGACAGGTGGCAAATGCCGAAGACTTGGAGGCTGAAGGAGGTTTGGGCCACTGAGGCGCAGGACCTGGGCCAGAAGAGGGTGCAGAGGGCCATGTGCTGTCCCCTAACGACCCCCACCCCTGCTCTGCAGCGCCCAGGCGCCAACCTAGGGCATCTGAGGGGGGGCGGGGCGTGGGCGGGGCCGAGGCCTGGGCGGGCGAGCACCGTTCCCTGCCCCTCCCCCTACACCTCACAACTTCCAGGGGTCGTTAGGGGTGCCCTGTCCAAGTCTCTCCCAGGGTCAGCTCCACCTGGACGAAGAAGGACACGAGGAAGACAAGCGTGTGAAGGCAGGCCCAGAAGTGAGGCCAAGGAGGGCCGGAAAGCTGTTTGGGGGAAGGAAGGGAAGCCCTGAGTGTCCTTCAGGGAACCCACAGGGTGGCGAGCAAAGGGGCTGAGGAGCAGGCACAGTGACCCTAGGCCCCATGTGGCAAAGGCTTGAGCTACCTCTGCTCAGCTTTGGCGGAGGTGGGAGCGGCAGCCTGGTCTGGTCCTCAGCAGCGGTGGACCAGCTTTGAGTCCTTTCTGACAGTGGGGTCCTGAGTCTTGGGGTCACCCTGCAGGCCAGATGACAGGACGCCTGCTAAAGGCTGCCCAGTGCACTGTGATGTTTGAGGTGGGACTGAGGCAGGAGAGGGGACAGAGAGGCGGCCCCAGCGAGGGCCAAGGGCCTGGTGTGGGAGCCTGTGGGGGAGGGAGAGCCCTGGCGGGGTGCTGGTGTCTGGAGCAGAGTGAGGAGGGGAGGAGGAGTGGGATCTGGGGCGAGTTCCCTCAGGGAACAGGTCCGATCACAGGACCGGCAAGCAGGTATCTGTGGCAGCTGTTCAACTCCGCCATTATAGCCTGAAACAAACAGGCGAGGGGAGTCAGGGCAGCTCTAGAGTTGTCTCTGAGCCTCTTGAAGGAAAGGCTGGAGCTGCCATTCATGGAGCAGGGAGCTGCCCCACTAGGAAAGAGCTGGCTTTGGGGGCATCCAGGGGTTCACTGTTAGACCCACTAATGCTGCCATGTGTACGGGGCATCTGGGCCGCCGTGTGGGGAGGCGCTGGGGCCGCCTTGGGTTGGTCTACAGGTCTGTGGAGAGGTCTGGTCCACGAGGGGCAGCTGCAGGACAGTCTGGGCTGGAAGCCCTTGGGGGCAAGTCCTGGAGCCTTGGGGGACTCGCGGAGGATGGTGGGACAATTGGGACTGGGGTGTGCTGGAGAAAGTGACTGTGGACTCAACTGAGCACCAAGAGCTCAGGTTGTGAGGGGAACCCAGACTTCCTGCCTGCACTGCCCTGCACCCTGGCTCCCATGACAGTGAGGTGCATGGCCTAGAATTGGTGTCCCCATGTCCACATCAGAAGGTGCAGGCTGGGGACACCAGCAGTGACGGTACAAGGTGGGGGAGAGATGTAGGCACCCAGGGATGCTGCTGAAGGTGTCCTTTCCCTGTGGAGACTTTCTGATGATTATTTTTGTTTTTCAGAGCTGGGGATGCAGCCAGGGCCCTGTGTGTGCCAGTCAAGCCCTCGCCACTGAGCTGCAGCCCAGCCCAGCCTGCTGATTGACCAGCTGGGACAACCAAGCATGCAGCTACCCCAAACCCATGGAGTGGAGTCCTATGACGAGCTGCAAGGAGAAGCCAACCCTGGGGCCGGAGGCTTCCCTCAGGCCAGGCAAGAGACCCAGAGGGCCCTGGTGGGTAGGTGTGGTAATAGGGTCCCCACTTGTTTGGAAGTCCTGGGGCCTCCCCACTTCTAGAGACTGGCTTCCCAGGGTTGGCTGGGGCCCAAGGGAGGGGTGTTCAGCCAGGCCCTTCTCCCCAGTGAGAGGTCAGGTAGAGGTGGGACCAGGCGTGGGCGGGCCAGCTGAATCGGGCTTTACAGGCCAGCACCGGGGCGGGGCGCAACCTGCTGGGCTCCTGGGGCCGTGAGAAGGCCACAGAGCTGCTGGTTCCACCCAGCGCGAGAGAAGACTCATGCAGATTTTCATCCAACTTCTTCTGTGTGACCACGGGCAAGTTGCTCAGCCTCTCTGAGCTTTATTTTGTATCTACAAAGGTGGTCACTTTTGTGGCCCACTCTGTTTGCCAGGCCCTGTGCCAGAGCCACCATAGCTCATGAATGAGCTTACTCTATGCTGTGAGGAGCCTGGGGGACAAGCAGGGGCTCCAAGTCCTACCCCCACGTCCCCCAGAGCAGCTCACTTTTAGCTGCTGGATACATCAGGTCTTGCCCAGTCTGCTGCCCACCATGGCCTCTGCCCAAACTGGAAATCAAAAAGTGACCCTTGATTGTTTTCCTTCCTTTATTCTTCCTTCTCTTCCTTTTTCTCTTTTTCCTTCCTTCCTTTATTTATTTATAGCAGTACTAGGGTTTTTTTTTTCGGAACCAGGGATTGAACTCAGACCTTTGTGTTTGCTAGGCAATATAGCAGTACTAGGGATTGAACCCAGGGCGTTTGCACTGAGCCACATTCTCAGCCCTTTAAAATAATTTTTAGGGCTGGGGGGATAGCTCAGTAAAATAAGCGCTCACCTGGCAAGCACAGGGCCCTGAGTTCAATCCTCAGTACCATTAAAAATAAATAAATAAATAAATAAATAAATAAATTCTGAGACAGGGTCTCAGTAATTTGCTATATTTCCCAGACTGTGCTAGCACTTGTGACCTTCCTCCCCTCAGCCTCCCCAGAGTGTTAGGATTACAGGTGCTCCCTCTTCTAAAATTCTTGGGGGGGGTTGCAGGGAGATGGCTCAGTAGAATAAGCGCTTCCCTGGCAAGCGCAAGGGCCCAAGTTCAATCCCCGGTTCCGAAAAAAAAAAAAAAAAAAAAAAAAAAATTCTTGGCCCCACCTAACATAGCCCCTGCCTCAGACACCCCTCACCCTGGTGTCTCCCCAGGCTTCCACCTTCCCCTCCTGGCCATGCCCTCATGCCTGACTTGGGCCCAAGACCCCTCTTGCTGAAGCGCTGGCTCCTTCTGGCCTGAGATGTTGTCCCTATCTGGCTCTGAGGCCTGGATGTCCCCCTACCCACTCATCCCCTGATCATCTGGGTCCTCTCCAGGCCCTGATCATTTCTTTTCTCTGTAAAGCAACAAAGATTCCTGAGAGGGCCAGGGAGATAGCTCAGTAGAATAAGCGTTTGTCTGGCAAGCCCAGGGTCCTGAGTTCAATCCCCGTTACCGCAAAAAAAAAAAAAAAGATTCGGGAGGATCCTGGGTGTCAGCCTGGGCAGTGGCCATGGTTCATGGGTGCCTATGTGCCAGGCTACAAGGGGAGCACCTGCTACCATCTGCTTCTCAGGAACAGTGCTGTACCAGAAGGAGCAGGGACAACGCCACGTCCAGACCAACCTCATCAGCCCACATCCCCGACGGGGCCTGGCTCTGAAGGACACAACAGGCTGGCGGGTGAATTCCAGCTTTCTGCAACAGAGCAACGTGCAGCCCCACACCAGGAGGCCCCCAGGAAAGAAGCCTGCGGCCCGGCAGAATAACCTCGGTTTAATCATGGCCACCAGCTCCCCTCCCCAGGGCAGCCACAGAGCACTGGCTCACTTGTCCCCGTGGCCACAGAACCCAGAACCCAGGCCCACCGCAGGCTATGCCCCTCCCTATGGGTGCACAGGACCAGGCACCCGATTCTTGGGTAGTCTCAGGGGCCAGACTTCCAGGCTCACAGGGGAACCCCTCACCCTGGAGGACCTGGCAATCCCTGCCCAGACGCAGGCTCAGCACCCATCCTGTGCTGTCATCCACCAGCTGCTGGCCTCTGTGCAGCGCCTGGAGTGGCAGGCAGCCCATCTCAGGGACTGGGCATCTTGGAAGCCCCGGGGCCCTACACAGCAGGGTCCCTGCCTGGGCAATGGGCAAGCCTTTCCCACCCATCTCCAGCACAGCCGGCCTGTTCTTGCTTCCAGTGATAAGAGGAGACACTCCCATGGCCACAAGGAAACTGCAGATCCCTGTGTGACTCAGGGGACCCACACTGGTCACTCAGACTCTTGGGCATCCAACGGACCAGCGTCACCCAAGACCTCTTTGGGAATGTGGACTGGGCATTTCCATGACTCTGGGCAGGGAGTGCTTCCTGCCCAGCCCCTCAGGCCAGAACATGAGGGAACCCTAGGGCCCACCTGTGGCAGGGCATGCAGGGAGAACCCTGCTGCCTCTCAAGGGTCGGGCAGCAAGGAGGCCTGGCCTGGCTCTTCAGCCTTTTCCAGTGCAGCCACAGCTAGGAGAGTCCTATCCAGGCGAGAAGAAGTGCATATCCCAAGGGAGCCAGGAGAGGGGACAGCTTTGGGTCCTCCGGATGAAGCCCTGGCAAGGAGGGGTGTCTTTCAGGTGGACCCCAGGGAGGCTGGGTGAGAGGGGGGCTCTCAGCAGGGCTTTCCCTTCCCCACTTGGCCTGAGGGCTGTCATGTCCTTTGCTTCCCCAGAATGAGGCCCGAGACAGTGTGGGCCTGGAAGCGTGCCCTACAGCCAGGTGAGGCCATGGCTGGGTGTGGGGGTCTGGGGTCCCTGGGATGGTAAACTGAGGCTGCTGGACTTGTGGAGTCAAAGGAGGCATTCTGCCCCCACCCTCCGATTTCTTAACTGGAATTTCCACATCTACCCCTGAGCCAGAGGGAGGACATGCCAGGCTGCAGTTGGAATTTGAGGAGGTCTCCCTTGTGCTTACTGGAAAGGGAACAGGACAGTGCCAGCAGCCCGCCACTCCCTAGGTGGGAGGCCTAGCTCTGCCCCTGACAGCCCTGGTCCATCCCCAGCCGGCAGCTGCTGTCCAGATGTTTCAGAGCCTGGATATGTGTGGCGCAGAGGCAGCGGGCAGCAGTGGCAGCCATGGCTCTGAGACACAGGCGGCTGTTGCGAGAGGGCTTCCGGGGACTGCGGTGGACACTGTGGCTCCAGGAGGCCCGGATGGAAGTGGCCGGGAGGCGACATGCAAAGACCTTGCTGGCCCAGACCTTCCGAGAGGTCAGCCCAGGAGCAGCACATGGAGTTTGGGTGTGTTGGGGAGGGGACCCCTGTGATCCCTGATCAGAAGTAGAGCATGCGGTGAAGAGTCCAGACTCCAGAACCCGCTCTGCCTGAGTTCGAGTCCTACCTCTGCCATTTTTCTGGCCGTGTGAACTTGGGCAAGTTAGTTATCTCCTCTGTGCCTTAGTCGCTTAATCTCTAAAATGAAATAATACTAGTATATACTTCTTTAGGTTGTTGTGAGATTAAATTAGTAAAAAACTTAGATCCCTGTGCAGCACAGAGCAAGCACTCTACCACATAAGTGGTTGCTATTTTTGCAAGGCATGGCGATGCACACATATGATCCTAGCAATTGGGAGGCTGAGGCAGAAAAATTACCCAAGTTTAATCAGCCTGGGCTCCATAGTGAGTTCAAGGCCAGCCTGAACTACATAGTAAGACCCTATCTCAAAAAAATAAAACAGGGGCTGGAGAGATGGCTCAGTGGTCTAAAGCACCTACTTGAAACAAGCTTGGCAAAGCACAGGGACCGCGGTTCGATCCCCAGCACCACATGCC